CTAACCATTCAAATAGAATATATATGTGTTCATTTCCTACTTTTGCTACTTGAGAAGTACCTTTTATCAGCTTTATATTTTCTAGATCATGCCATGCACTACTCTTGTTTCTATTTATATTTCTAGAGAATTAACAAATCAAATTAATGCAAGGTAGCTAGATAAAAAAAATCAAAGAAAATCAAATTAGGGAATTCTTAAATATAACATGATATGTCCTAGAAAGATGTCAGAGAGGAGGACGGTCAGGTTAATCAGTGAAGTAGTGAATGCTCAGATTTTAACAATAGCTGAAAAACTGCTTCTAAAAATGATCCCCACTAACATGGACAACCACACGGAAGGGAGAAAGTCTGTCGATACATGAGGAACGTTACTATTCAGCTGAGACCTTTAAGAATATAGTTTCTCAATTTTTAGATGAAAACTAGATTTCAGTAATAAAAATTTAAGCAGGAAGCATCTTTTTTTTTTTTTAAAGATTTTATTTATTTATTAGAGAGAGAGAGTGCGCACAAGCAGGGGGAACGGCAGGCATAGGGAGAGGGAGAAGCAGGCTCCCCGAGGAGCAAGGAGCCCGATGGAGGGCTCCATCCCAGGACCCTGGGATCATGACCTGAGCCGAAGGCAGACGCTTAACCAACTGAGCCATCCAGGCGCCCCTAAGCAGGAAGCATTTTAAATGTTATTCTGGTTCAGTTTCTTTATTTTAAGTAGGAAGACATTGAGTTCTTTTGTATAGGACTCGGGAGAAGGAGGTGTTTGTGCTGGGGGGGATGATCATGCATCTTTTCCCGCAGTCATAAATGATACACTTCTGACTTTGATGGCTTGTAGCATAGTTTTGGTAAGTTTTGAAGTGCTTTCCTATGTGGGGCACATAGAAATTAAACTGTTTGACCAAAGATACATCGAAATCAAGTAAAGGATCTATGGCAGAAAAGTACCAACCACTCAGTTTTTTCCGGAAGAGTTTAGGGTACAAAGGGAAGTTTCAGAAGAGTGACTCATTCTTGGAACACATTAAAGCTATTACCTATGGGTGTCTGAGATCTACGTGTGACATGACAGTCAGCTCTTGTAAATCACTTGAAGGTGCTTGGCAGTGAGGGTGACCCTTAGAACATGGCCGTTTGAATTGGGAACTCCCAGGGCTGCGATCGCGAGAATGTGTTCCTGGTCCCGGGTTTGTCGCTGCTGGCTGAGAGGCCTTTGGGTCTGGCTCAGTTGTAAACCGTCTGTGACTTTTTGCCAGCCCCCGCCCCCATTCAGATGCCCAGTCCTGCTTCAGGATGTTTGGAACCCCCGCCTGGACTGCTCGAGCAATGCCTTTGTAGTTCTCTCCCACACGAATTCCCTCCCACATTTTCCAGTTACATTAGCGTATTGGTTTTTGAAATTAGGTATCTATCCAATGATAGAAGTGGTAGTTCATTGCAATTAGATGTTTTATTGACGGCCATGTGGTCTGGCTTGCAGGACTGGAGGCAGATTCCCCATGTGCATCTTGAATGAGAAAAGAAGGAAAGTTAAACCATCTTAAAAGGAGAACGCACATCCCAGTTTGCTTTCTCAGTTTAGCATAAGCGAGCCGGCTGGCCTAGACTCGGGTACCCTTGCCTGGACCCCGTCGGTCCTCGACAGATGTGCCTGCATGCAGTCCAGACCCCAGCCCGTTGCTCCCCACATAGGAGCCCTCCTGCCCGGTCCACCTTCCAAGTGCGCTTCTGTCTGTGGCCTTTCTGTCTGGGAGTCGTTGTGGGCGACGTGAATCTCATCCCTACATGATGGATTGATTTCTAGGCCCTCAGACCTAGCCATGATTGCTTTGCTTGCACTCTTCAGAAAACCGTGAGACTTGTACGTGCCGGTTAGATGACCATCTGCAGGACTGACCAGGGCGGTGTGAGGAACAGGGATCTCACTGTATCTAGCAGGAGAGAAGTGGATCGTAAACAGATGTTTGTGTACATACGGGAACGAATACCCTTTAAAATCATGAAACTACGTTATGCAAATTTGGGATAAATACTCATAATTCTACCACCAAGCCCAGTGATCCTTGTCAGCTTTGATAACTTATTTTTCATCTTTCTTTTATATTTTAAACAGGTATAGCCATGTTCCACATACAATTTGTAATTTTTTAGTTAATATTACAAGGTCTTTTCATGTTTTTGTTCTTGAAATCGGGTCTTTAACGTGAGCTCCAAAATTGAGAACATGTTTGACCATCTTTGAAGCGTAATGAAAGACCCCTAGCCCCACCCCTTATCAGTCGCTGTTGCCCCCACGCCCGCTGCTGGTGTCTCCACAGGGACAGGCCCACCGCAGGTGAAATAGCAGAGCTCCCCCGCGGTGCCTGGTGCCCGAGCCGCACATGCTGCCCGCGGGGGGGCTGGTGGCGCCGCTCGCTCCGACCGCCGTCCTGGACAGGCCTCCCAGACTGCAGCCACAGAGTTCCAGATGCCTCTGTTCCTCGCAGACAGCTGGAACAGCGTTCATCTGCTTTCCACATTCTCCTCTCCAGAGATGAGTCACTTCCGCCTTCAGTCCAGTTGGGGTTTTCTCTCTTGACTTTTTTTCATAAATCCTAATATTATTCAGTCCTGGGACATTTAGGTGCACTTTGCTGTCCTGTGGCCGGGGAAAATGCTGACTACATTTTTCTGTGTTCATGGACTTCGTATGTTCTGTTGTTTAAAAAGGGGGAAGATCTCTAGGTTAGAGTGATGTCATTGTGGGTCAATTTTTTAAAAATGCCTATTGGGAAAACATAAAAGCTGTTTATTTGCTGACAGTCTGATGGAGGAGGCCAGACAGGAACAGCGAGTGGTTTCACTGAGTGAGAATAGGGAGGTGTGCAACCTCGAAATGTGTGTTCTTTGTTTTGCCAGAAAGGAAACACTTTTTTTTTTTTTTTTAAGTAATTCCTTCCTGTAAGGTGCTATTTTAAGCTTAAAATACTTCAAACCGAATGGCTTCTCGTATCTCCCGAGATGCATATCGACCCTGATGCCACTTTACAAAATTAGGGAGGCCTCAGAGAGAACCGTTTAGCAGGTGAAGGGTCTTCCCCGAAACAGCTAGTAACCTCTGCGAGTGTGAGGACGCATCTGTCATGTTCGCTGCTCTGTTCACAGCCCCTAGAATTTGACCTTGCACACAGTAGGAATCTGATAGGACATGTTGGTGAGTGAGCAGGTTTGTTGGTTTTAGAGCAGGGATCGCATATTTTTCTGCACAGATCCAGATAGTAAATATTTTTGGCTTCGGGAGGCATAGGGTCTCTGGCACAATGGCTGGGCTCTGCTGTCGTGGGGTGGAGGGCGGCCACTGACAGTAGGTAAACAAAAGGCGTGGCTGCGTGCCAACGAAGCTGTTTACACAAGCAGGCCCAGGGCAGCCTCCAGTTGGCCAGCCCCGCTTAGACCCGTGCTGTCCAGTGGAAGTCTCTGTGATGACCGAATGTTCTGTGTACTGCACAGCATGGCAGCCACTAGCCCCATCTGGCTGTGGAGCACTTAGGATGGGCTTACTGCAACCAAAGAAGTGGATTTTTGATTCTGTTCGGTTGTAATTAATACAAATGTAAATAGTCACATGTAGTTAGTGGCTGTGGTGTTGGGCGTTGCAGGGTTAGAACCTTCCCCGAAGCACGTTGCACAGAGTGGTTTGTTGTTCTCTGGGAGGTCTGTACACGGGAGGGGAAGAAAGAGTTCTGTGGCCCCCAAAACTGGGGAACTGTTAATAAGAATAGACTTGTTCATTTCAGGACTGCTCAGAGCCTTTAATATTCTAATGTAAAAGACAGTCTACCAGAAAGTCTTAGATTTTTTCCTCTGAGCTTTTTGACTGTGAAGCTTTCTGGGGGTGCCCTTGAACATCTTAGAGCACCGGTGTTCTTGGAGAAGACCTTGGGAGATGCCGGTGTGGCAGGCCAGGCCAGGACGCTGGGCGTCTGCAGGACATGGAGCTTAATAGTTTCAGAGGTTCTGTTAAGTGCTTCCCCTTGGACAGTTAGGTTTGTGGCCACGGGCTCTCTGGGGCCGTGAAAACTGACAGGGAGGAAGATGTGTGTAACACGCACGTACTGAAGCCCCTCGTCTGTCATGGACTCTGCTCGTTCACTGCATAGGGGGGTGACTGGACTGTCCGTGTCTGCAGACAACATAGACCCTCCAGGAATCCGTCCCGTTAGCACTTGAGAAACATTCTCATTTGAATTGGAAATAGGACGTGCACACCTTCCTGTGGTTTTCGACTTTGGAATGGGCATCACGTTTGTAAGTGGCTGTTTTATCTTCAGCAAATGTTTGTGCTCAGATATTTGCATTTTCATACTGTAGTTTAAGTGCGTAAGAACTTAACTGTACCCTTTTGGTTCTGAGGAGACACAGGATGCAGCCCTGTGAGTTCGAGGGCAGAGCAGGACTGTCGCGCGGGGGCTGGGGCCGTGCTTTGTCCCCTGCGGCGCTGGCGCTGGGCCGCTGCGGCCCCGGACTCCCCGTTCTGCTCTTCAGAGGCAGCGCTTAGGAGCCTTCCGTGCTGCCTTGACTACCGCCAGCCGGGCCCTGTCACAGGACCGTGACACCGTCACAGCTGACAATGTGGAATTTTCCCGAAGTCGGAGCAGATCCTACCACATCTGCCCTCATAATTGGGGTCTGTACCCTCGTGCATTCCCATCAACTCCTGTTCTTTTTCCAAGGACCGTTCTCTTCCTTTTCTATGATTTGTTTTCATGTTTGGCCTTTTTTTTTTTTTTTTTCTGTTCCGCTTTTAAATTCCCCTCCGTTCCCGAGTGTGACAGCGTTCTGCTTTCCATTTCCGCCCCTCCTCCCAGGCGAGCACTCGGCAGAGGAGAGTGAGCAGCGCCGGCATCTGAAGCCTCGTTTTGAAAATTGCTAAAATATCAAATGCTAACTAATATGTGCCCCAAGGTTTTATTTCATTTTTATAATTTTGTTTGTTGTTGTTGTTGTTTTTTGCTTTTACAGTGAGTGTTGAAAAGATAGACCTGAAGGGATTATCTCACAAAAAAAGTGAAAGAAATGTTGAATGTTCCTTTGAGGTAAGATGCCAAGTTTTTTTTCCCTTTTCTCCTCTGAGGGGTAGGAAGGAAACATTTGCCATGAGTAGATACTTAGCTTGATCTAAGTGGAAGATGGGCTCTACCAGTGAGTGCTGTGGGAGGCAGAAAGCCGGGCCTGGGCCACGGGCGGGCAGTCTCCCGAGAGCCTGTGTGCTGAGCGTGGTCTAGACCGGCGTGCTCGGCTGCTACTGCTCCGTCACCACAGTTGGCTGACACAGGGACACCGTGTGAAAATTGAGACGCACTGCATATGAGGATTGGAGGCCCCCAGGAACCGTGGCTCAGCGGCCTCACAGTGTGCCGGGAGCTGTGCTCCATGAGGCCCTTGGGGGCCTGGGCTCCCCCCAGTTGACTGCCTTGATATCCCTGGGGTGTGCGCCCTCAGCCTCATGGTCCAGGGTAGTAGCCAGGGCGCTAGTCCTCACGTTTTCATTCTAGGCAGCAAGACACAGGATGAAGAGGAGGGAAAATGTTACTTCTCTCTCTCTTTTAAGGAAAATTCTGAAAGCGGCCACTAGACATTTCCATTTATGTTTTGTTGACCCAAACTTAGTTTCTTGGTCCTGCTTAGCTGCAGAGGAGGCTGGGAAATGTATTCTGGCTGGCCATATCCCCAGGGTTCTGTTACTTGGCTGTCATGTTGTGTGAGGTTCTCCTTTGACCATGTGCCTGAACACTGATTGATAAGGGAAATCTGCTTCCTGTATTACTAGGGAGTGTTCTCAGGAATAAAAGCTTCTGGTTCGTATCTAGTTTGTATGCTCTGATGCTGTGTGTGGTTCACTAACTTTTCAGAGGGTATAGATGCATCGAAATACTTTAAATAGTCTCACCACTAAAAGGGTAACATCTTCATTTGATTCGGAGGGTGTACTGCATTGTGAGAATCCCTTGTTTCGCTATGCATGTGTCTTCAGAACGTTCGGGAAAGACTCACCTAAGGTTTTGGAGGCTGTCAAAACTTGTGACCAGCACCCAGGTCTCAGCACCCGGAGAACCTTGGAATCCCAACATCTTCAAGGCCTCGTAGAGGTGGGAGCCTAGCAGGTCCCTAGAGCCCTGAGCATGTTGTTTTCCCTCCACCATGCTCTGGGCCTCACGGCCGGACCTCCCCTCGCGATCATCCGCCTCCACACGGCTGAGCCATTCTGGGGGGTGGGCCCCACTCAGCCCGTCCTCGGGCCTACAGCCTGGGCTTGTACAGTGTGAGATGTGGTGACTCTGGCTGGTGTGACTGCCTGCAGCTTCTCTCTGAAGACGTGAGCTTTGGCAAAATACACACTTGGCCTCTCGTGGCCTTTCGGAGGAGGTGGGAGTTACGTTAGGAGTGGGGAGGCAACAGACTGGTGAGGACGGGGACACGGTGGCCTGAGTCCTCTGCAAGCAAGCTGCACAACTCCAAAAGGAGCCGGGAGCCCTGAGCTTGCGGCCCTGGACTCTGGAGTGTCCCTGGTGTCGATGCTGTCACAAAGGGTGAGGTGTGTAGTTGAAGGTGTTTCTACCCCAGTGGGTGAGCTGAAGTGTTTTAAGACTTAAAGCAAAAGCTTTGGTTATCTGCGATTCTTACTTTTCCTGAAGTGATAACTGACAGAAGTATTCTTGTGTTTAGGAAAGTGAGCATTCCCCTCTAACACAGAAGTCCAAACTAGTTTTTCTTTTGGGGTACTTTTTTTTTTTTTTTTTTAAGATTTTATTTACTTGAGAGAGTGAATGAGTGGGAGGAGGGGCAGAAGGAGAGAGAGAGATCGAATCTCAAGCTGCCTCCATGCTCAGCACGGAGCCAGACATGGGCTCAGTCCCTGAGATTATGACCTGAGCCGAAATCAAGAGTCAGACGCTTAACTGACTGAGCCACCCAGGCACCCCTTGGGGTACTAACTGGATATGCCCTGAGGGACTCCAGCCCAAACTGTGTTTGTTGAATGGTAACTCGAGGCGCAAAGGAAAGATAGGATCGACGTTAAAAAAAAATATTTTTTGACCTTGTTATTCCAAAACAGTGTTCATTTGCACAGCTTCAACCGTGTGCTTGTTTTGTGCGGGGCTGGGAGGGTGCTGCTGATGGCTGCCATTCACGTGTCAGGCTGGAGACTTGTGTCATGCGAGGGAGGCTGTGCACATTGGGGAGTGTAAGCGCGGGGGCTCCCGCCAGCGCCATGCTCCGGAGAGAGGAGAGCTGAGGGCAGGCGGCCCGAGGACAGTGGCGGGCCCACCTAACTACTCACCTGCTATCGTTGGAAATGACTAGCCTCAAAAATAAGCCCCAGCAGGAATTTTCTGTCTTAGAAATCAACAAGCTAGCCCTAAAACGTATATGGAAAGAACAACAGAGTAGTCAAAACAGTTTTGAGAAGAAGAATAAAGTTGGAAGCTGCACACTGCCTGTCTCGGAGACTCGCCATTAGACTACAGGGACACTGGCGCGTGGGGTCGCTGTGAGCGTGGGGCACCGGTCAGCAGGTCGGAGCACAGAGTCCAGAGTTAGACTCACAGGTCAGTGGCCGATTGACAGGCCAGCAGTTCCGTGGAGAAAGGACGGTCTTTTTCAACAAATGGCTCTGGAACCCTTGACCAAACCTCTCACCTCACATAGAAAACTAAGTCAAAACTGATCATAGTCCTAAGTGTACAACCTAAACCGATAAAAGTTCTGGAAGAGAGCCTTCAAGACTGTGTGGCTAGGCAGAGATTTCTCTGCTATGGCACCAAGAATATGATCCGTGAAAGACAAAATGAATACGTGAGACTTGATCGGAGTATCGAACTTGCTCCTGGAAAGGCACCCTGAGGGTGAGGAGACGGCCGAACAGGATGCAGACTAGGAGACATTTGCACGTTACGTATTCGATAGACAGTTTTCATCCCAAGTAGATAAAGGACTCTCAACAATCAGTAATAAGAGAGCAACCCAATAAAAAATGAGCCAAAGATTTGAACTGACGTTTGGAGGGCGCACACCCCACGGGAGCAGATGTCCGGCCCCACCAGTCATTAGGACCATGACCATTGGCGCTGTGGGCCTGCAGCACGGCTACAGCTGGAGACGGCGCACAGCAGCGCTGGGACTCTCCCCGGCGGCCGGAGCATGTACTCAGGGCTACGGCCTCTTTGCCAGGCTGTCTGGCAGTTTTATAGAGAGCTAAACTTTTCCCTAAAGTATGACCCATCAGTTCTACCACTAGGTATTAATCGACGGGAAAGGAAAGCGTTTGATCACATGGAGATTTGTATGTGAGTGTTCACGCCAGCTTGATACGGCGGACCACCCTGAGCGTCCATCCGCAGGAGAATGGATAAACCCGTGGTGGTTCTGGAAACACCGTGGAAGACCACCCAGAGTGGAAAGGACTGAGCTGTTGTTACACTAGCAACGTGGAGAAAACTCAGATAATTGCGCTGTGTGAAAAAAACCAGACCCTTTGCCACAAAGGATATATGGTGTGAGCCCATTTACATAAAATTGTAGGAAACACCAACTGTCTATAGTGAGAGAAGGCACACAGTGGCTTCCTGGGGAGAGGAGGAGGGAATGTTTGGGGGTGATGGACATGTTCGTGGTATTGATGGGAGTGATGGTTTCCTGGATGTAAATATATGCCCAGACTTAGCACATTATGCCCTTTGGATAGGCGTGGTTTATCGTCCTTTAGCACTCAGTTTAAAAAAAAAAAGGTCACCTAGGATTAAGCCTTGCATTTTGTCCACAGAACCCTAATTAATGAAGATTAAATAAATTGTCCTTTAAGTAACACAGAGATGTGTTAAAGTATGTGTCCACATACTTTAAGTATGTGGAAGTAAACAGCTACCATACTGGGACCAGAGCCATCAAGCACCTTCTAGAAGCGCCGGCCGTCCTGGGCCGCGATGGGACGGCTGTGCTGGCCGCAGAGGGAGACGCAGAGAAACCTCTCTCCTGCCGGCCTCCCTGGCTCCGGAGGGGCAGGTGGCCTCTGCCCACCGTTTCCTCGGTCCTGTTTATCTCTAGTTTCACTTTTTATGGATCGTTGTTTTCCAGGGGAACAAATGAAAGGCTTCTTTTATAGGAAAGCCTACGTAGCTGAAGTGAGATGCTTCTCGTATGTAAACGTGTACTGCAAATAGGAGTCTGCGCCTCCTGTTCTTTTCCATGGGGTTGGTTGTGTTTTCACTGGAGTCGGAGCCGCTCCATACTGGTTCCTGAGGAGCCACATCAGGGCGCAGGAAGCCAGAGGCTGCACACAGAGTCAGCTTGCAAGTAAGCACATGTGGAGTGTCCAGATGTTACCAGTTTTCCCAGATTCACTGTTGAAAAACTGGAATGAGTAAAATTTTTTTTAGTAAAATGATTTCCTGTTCAAAGTGAAGGATAGAGAGGGAAAATACCAGAAGATGTCCCAAACCCTTGAAGCACCTCCTAGACTGTAGAATTTCAGCAACTTAGAAAGAACTGGAGAACAGTGCCAATCAAAACCATTCTTTCTGAAGAACCCACGCATTGCATTTACTTTAGTGCTCTATCTTTTCCTTGAAAGTTTTATTTTTTCATCTCAAAATAATCTTAACTGCTCTGAATATCTTATTGCCATTAGCAAAGATGAGTCTTAACAACTATTCTTTTAATTTAGTTTGTGTTTTCATCAGCTGTTCTTGCGGAATTGAGAGTCCAGTAATCCTGCGAACATTGCCAAGAGAGCAGGGAACTGTTTGTTTTGACGCGCATGTTCGAGTGACTGCGTGAGGGTTGCTGATCCTGGAGCCACATGGTGCATGCTCAGGGCTTTCCCTCGAGTCGTCTCTGTGTTTGCTGGTTTGTTTTTTGCTTAGGGACAAGTTCTTAGAAATGACTTCACTCCAAAAGTCCTGTGATTGTCTGAAAGTACCCCCGTTGTGCTCGGACAGGCCCAGCGCCCTGTGGTTCTGCTGCCACGTGGACCCGATGGCCCTCGGTGAGCCCCAGCTCTCCCCCTCATCCCCACCCGCATGGCCCCTCCCTCCTTACAGGCGCCATCCCCTGTTCTCGGGTCTTACGTCGCCCTCTTTCTGGTAGCTTCTTAGAAAGGGCACTTGGGAGGTCCTACTTCTGGGGCCTTCCATGTCTGGACATGCCCCTCCCTCCCCCCCCCCCCCCCAAGTGTGACTGAGAACACAGGCGGAGGCTGGGCGTCGTTCTTCCTCAGGGATCCGATGCTCTGCTGACTTCCCGCCTCCTGGTCCTGAGCTCTGGCACTTTGGACGGTTTCCTCAGTCCTGGGTGTTTGCATACCGCTCACCCATGCTTGGCTGTGGGTCTGTTTTCATCACTGTGCTGGCACTCAGTGGGCCCTTTTAACTTGAAAACTCACATCCATAATCTGGGGGCCCTGTCCTGAATCTTCCCTTTTGGTTTCCTCTGCTTTGTGTTTCTCTGTTTGCTTGCTTTGGAACTCCGGCTGTCTGCATATTGGACCTCATATTGGCCTGGTCCTTTGTTGGATTTTTTTCTCTGTTTTCTCTCCTTTTGATATTTCGATCTACTCGAGGGAGGACTGCGTCATCTCTCCCCTTCATCAGTGGGGTTTTTCACCCCTGTCCTGGTTTCAATTTCAAAGAATACTTGTTCTCTGACAATTCTTTTTTCATAGCATCCTGTTCTTGGCTGTGCTTTTCTTCTCTTAGATCACCGAGAATATTGGTAGTTTTTAGTTTTTTAAAACTATGGTCTGTGTTTCAGCCTGGCTGCCTTGAGCTCTTCGAGGCCGGTGCTGGATGTTCTGGTGCTGGGCTGCCGGCTCACGTCCGTGGTGCGGCAGGAGTCGTGGGCAGGGCCTCTGGCTGGGCTGCTCCCTGGGCAGAGAGAACATTCTGCTCCACGTGCTCCAGAGTAGAGTGCTGTGGGTGACCCGGGGACATTGGGGACGGAGCTGTCAAGTGAGTCAGAGGACTGAGATGTAGTGTGACGTCGTCCTAAGTATCTGTTTTGTGCATGTTTTGCTTTTTGTGTACACTTAGGGTATTTTACGGTCTGGCTTAGTGAGGCTGTGCAGCTCTTCAAACAGGTACAAGTGACCGGAAACCACACTGCCATCATTTATTCGGCAGCTTTTTTTTGGCGGTACGTAACATAACGGGGTCGCTCACGGTTGGTGCCCCCTCGGGTTTGGCGGGACGCGTGTGTAGCACGAAGCACGCCGCGAGACTCTTCTGTGTCCGGGCCCCTCCTGGGCGTGTCCCCTCCTCTGGTGCAGGTGCCTGGCCTGGCGGGTGAGGCCGAGGGTGAGCGTGAGGAAGCCCGGGCCCGCCACACAGTGTGGTGCGTCCCGGGAGTGGGCGTCCCGGGAGTGAGCCCTCGCTTTCTGTCTGTTCAGACTGGAGTCTGGAAGGACAAGTAAAGCATCGGGAGCTGGCGGCCTGGAGTGCTGGTGCCTGTTGGAAGCACGTTGTTGTTGGGGAAGCAGATTGTCTGTTTGAGCATAGCACGATACGTCTGTGCTGCGCACGCAGCTTGGACGTTGGGGTTCGTGCTTTTGTGGGCTTTAAGGTGCATTCGTGCTACGTGAATGTGCACGAGAAGAGAGTCGGGTTTTGATCTGGGTTTAAGAGTCACAGGGAAAACTAAAATCCTCCACCACGTGCTGCACCGTGACCAGCACAAGATGTCAGCAGTGCTTGGGGTCCAACATCTAAAGACCAGAAAGTTTCTGCCTTTAATCCTAGATGGTGCTGGGGTTTCCTTGGGGAGCAACTTGCCCCGAACTTGTGCTCAGTGCTGTTGGTGAGATTTGTCTCCAACAAAAGCAGGTTGGGGTGTGCAGCTTGGTGCAGGTCCATTTGGGCGGCGAGGCACGTTCACTCAAGGAGCACCAGCACTGCCTCATCAGTGAGCCCCAGGCGCCCCGAACTCAGAGATCGGGGAGGATCCCCTTTCCTCTGCTGGCTTGCGTTTCCCGGGAGCTCAAGGAGACAGCCACCGTGGTGGTGGTTTCGTGGTGCGGCAGCTGTGGGGACGGAAGGGACGCGTGTGGGGTTCAGCAGAGGAAAGGGGACGTGGGGTCCATCGGCAGCCACACTAGGCTGTTTCTCAGAAGGCACGGACAGGTGGCGGGAGTAGCGGGGTCTTCCAAACCGCCATGCTCCGTCTGCTCCATCACTGCGAATATAGCGCTTTCTTTTTGGTCGTTTTACTTCGTGACTTGAGGCCCTCTGGTGGCTTCTTCTGGATCTGAGGGCCAAGTTCCTGCTTCCTAGTCTCACCCTTCTGGTGGCCCTCCCGCCTCGCCCCTGCTCGCCTCTTGCTGCAGTGGATTCCCTGCTTCCCGGCCCGGCTCCCGTGTCTGAGTGCGGCACGCCCCCCACCAGTCCTCAGCGCCCCAAGGTGGTCAGGAAACACTGGAGAAGCACCGGGAAGACGGAGGGAGGAGACGTCCCCCCAGGACGCCTGCAGTCCATCATGTAGGGGGACTGGCTGGGACGCGGTGATGACACGAGGCCTCCCGCCCGCCACACGCAGCGCGGAAACGCAGCCGTGTGCTCGGGTCTCGGGCACGCCCAGCGCTGTAGGGCTGCTTGAGAGAGCCCTTCCTGCTGCTCTCTCCGGAAGGTTTCCGCCCCAGCCTGCACCCCGGCCGCTCCCTGGGTGCCAACTGCCCCGGCCCCCGTTCTGTCAGGTTCCCGAGGGCGGGGGCCTTGTCTCATTTTCAGCAGCAAGGAGGTCCCCTTGAGGACAGTGTGCCCGGGCACACACACGCAGTCGTGATTGTCGGTGGCTGCGTACAAGTTTGTGGAGCAAGCCTCAGACTCCATGCTTGAGTCATTTGGTGATATTTGAATAATGGCACAAAACAGGAAGCGAAGCCTTAAAGGACTTGAGTTATGTGAACTTTTCTCTCACGAGTCGGGGGATGTGTAACTACCCCATCCAGCAGGTGCACCACACTTAGGGCTCAGCATGCTCACTGCACCTGTGCCCGTGAAGACTCCCTGGACAGGTGTGTTGTGAGGGACGTACGTGGCGTCTGTTTTTAAGGTTTGTTTGTTTGTTTGTTTTTAAGGTCTTGTGGTCTGATTCTTCAGTAACATCAGTAACCAAATCTTCCTCTGAAGTGACTGAATTTATTTCAAAGGTAAGGTGATTAAGGGCTCTTATAAAAATTAAAAGGCTCTCGATAATACTGCAGAGTGATTTCAGTGGATTGCTTCCTTCAGCTGGCAGAGCAAGTAATTCGTGCATGACCATAAAAACATGGTCCTCGGTGCCACGATCCCCGCTCCTTGCAGTTGTTGAGAATGAGAAGAGGCAGGACGCTGTGACCCGCACAGGCGGCTGAAGGGTGTTTGCTTCGGTTACTCTGCAGAGAGACTGAGAGAGAGTCCAGTCCCAGCTCGATCTGTTGGACATGCTGGGTTTTCCTCTTCATTTTCTGATGGCTTCAACAAATGTCATCCAAACAAAAGGTTCCACTACTAAATAAATACCACTTTGCCCACATAAACATGTGTCCATACATACATACATGCACACCTCCATGGTTACAATGTGTTTGCAGTCCACTGGCCCAGGCCATCGCAGTGAACCGCTGTCGCTAGCCAGAGCATCTTAATTAGTCCCCTTTGTCTCATGGAGTGACATATCAAAAGTGTCTCCAAAGCGAATCTTAACGTTTTCACTATAAAATCAAGGATGTAATCCTGTAGGAGAAAATCCAGTGGATGGATCATATTTTAAAAGCCTATTCAGAAGTTGTCTGCTCACGCCTCTCCTCTTGGCCTGTCAGCCATGCTTTCTGGGATTACTGGTGTCCCCCCCCCCCCCCCGGAATTCACGTTTTTGTCTGTGACGCTGAGGACGCTACATTTCCTCTCCTGCGTGCCTAGCCTCTCGTTTATAGAACACCCATTGCTCTGGACTGCACTAACACTGGCGCAAACTTTGACCCCACTGGGTGCTGACAGTGCTTCATGTTCACCTGCTTTGTGTTCTCTGACCTTCCTGGATACCTGGTTTGTTGTCTCTTGTTAATTTTGGAGAATTCTTCCCCATTATCTCTTCAGATATTTCTTCTGACCCCCTCTCTCTCTGCCTTTGGACTTGAACTCGGTGCACCTGGACCTTTGACATTGTCCACAGCTCTTGGGTGCCCTTTTTTTTTTCTTGCTCTTTTCGCTGTGTGTTTCGGTCAGACGATTTCCCTTGCCCTGTTCTCAGGCTCCCCGACGTCCAGTCCACAGCTCTGCCCAGGCTGCCGCTGAGCCTGTTTTATGTGCCGAGTTCTTCATCTCTGGGACCATGGTTTTCTATTGTTCTCATTTCTTGTTTTTCCTAGCTTTTCCGTTTGACACATCTTTTAATAAAGTTTCCATCTCTCTGCTGAGATTTCCTATTTGTTGTCATGCACGTTGTCCATTTTTTCACTAAATCTTTCAGTATGTTAATCATAGTTGTTTTATAATCCCTATCTAATAGTTCCAACATCCAGTTATATCTGAGTTTGGCTCTGATGTTTATCTTCACAATAGTTTTCATTCCCTCTTATTTTTTTGTGTGTGTATCTTGTAGTTTTTTGATTGAATATTAGACATCATGTTTAGAAAACGTAGAGACTGAGGGAAACAGCGTATCTGCCCTGAAATGGGCATGCTGCCGTTTCTCTCAGGCCCTCAGTGGGGTCCTCGATTTGGTCCGATCAGGAGTTGAGCTGGGTTTGGGTTTTGTTGCTGCTAGTTACCTCCAGTAGCCCCACGGGCTTCAGGTTCTTCCAGTGGAGGGTGGTTGTCACCTTGAGCCTGGGGAGAAGTGTCAGAAGTTTCTCTCAGTGGTCTGGCTTCACCCTTGGCCCTCAGCAGTCCTATGTGTCCGTGGCCCGGAGGGGCTCTCCCTGATCTGTTGACACACACCCCACCCCACTCCCACCCCCGCCCGGCGGAGACTGCGGTTACTTGTTGCCTGGTGACAGACTGGTGGTGGGCGTGAGGTGTTCTCCATGCTCCTGGTCCAGCCTCAGTCCCAGGCACGTGGCCCTGGGGCTTTCTCGCCATACCTGTCCCTTTCTTCCCCAGCGGCAGTTGACCTCCTCTTTGTACTGCTGCAGCATCTTCAGCCCAAGAGGGTGTTTGCCCCTTCCTCAGGGCCAGCGGGCTGTGCTTGCACCTTCCCCCAGAAGCCAGGGCATCTTTGCCCAGCGCCGGGTGCCAGGAGGACTCCCTCCCCTCCCGCGGAGGCAGGACAGTAGTGCTCCTGCCTCATCCCCAGAAACGTAGGGTCTGCCTGGGCTCTGGGAGCAGGAGCAGTCTTGTCCCTCCCCCAGGGGCTTAAGGGCTTTCTCTTTGGATTTAGAGAAGGCCGCAGGGCAGGCAGAGGGTTCCTGCCGGGCCCCCAGGCGCAGCCAGCCCCCACCTCCGCTGCCTTGGAGGCTCTCTCCAGTCTCCTGTGGAAGCGAGCTTGGGAAGGAGGGCACACTCCCCTTGTGTCTGGGGCTCTTGGCTGACCGATGTCTGGCCCACACTCAGCCCACGGGAAGTGTCCATCTTCTGACTCTTCTGCCTGCTGGCTTGGCGGCTACCTCTTCCTCGCGTTCTGCCACAGCGGAGACGGGTCCCGTGTCTTGTCTCTCCTTGGAGGGGTAGGTCCCTCTCGAAATTCAGTTCACGTGGTGACCTTGCAGCTGAGTTCCCGATGGGCTCACGGCTAGGTACGATCGTGTTGGTTATGGAGGTTTTTACTGATGTCGTGGTGGGAGTGATGTTTTTTTGTGGCTTTCCACATCCTGAGTGGAATTAGAGCCCCAGAGAGCTGAGAGCAGGTGGGTTGTAGTGTCCCACACAGGGTCAGCATCTAGTGGCTGCCCGTCTCTCGACTGGAAGAGGCCCATGTCAAGTGAATTTTGACAGACGTCCAGTGCTTTTCCATCTCTTTCAGTTACCCCAGCTGTACCCTGAAGAAAATCTGGAGAAGTTCATTCCTTGCTTAGCTGGCCCAGATTCCTTTTACGTAGAGCGAAACCACATGGATCTGGAAGCGGACCTGAGGTAAGGCTGCCCCGCACCTGCAGGCCAGGGACGCAGCCCCAGCAGTGCCCTGTGGGGCCCGCCCGTGTGGCGATGTGTGGCATGGCCAGAGCGGGGTGGGTGCACACCTGAGCTGCCTGGTCATCCCAGCGGTCTGGGTCTCTGGGGCGTCCCTGGGGATTTTCATCAGTTGTGGAGAATTTGGTAGAGTTAGTAACAGAGGCATGATTTTGAGGATATGAATAAAGGAGTTTCACAGTACATGCCACCACTTCATGTGATGTTGACGGTCTGAGGAAATGAAATCCAATTACTGTTTCTGTCCCGTAGTGGAAAGTTGAGACTGTTGCAGGACAAAACCAGGGCCCGGTAAAGTCCCGTAAGCCATGTCTCCTGGCCGTTGAGCACACCCTGCATGGGTCAGCGGGCAGAGGGGGCAGGCCTGCTTCCTGGGTCCGGGCCCGGCATCCTGGCACCGATGAGTCGGGTGTAGCCCAGTCGCCACACGCTGCAGGAGACTGCAGGGGGCCCGACTGTGCTCTCGTGCTAGCCCGATGCCCCCACCACGGTGTGATGCGGTGGGCGTGCGGAAGGGGCCCCGGGAAACGATAGGAATCAGACAAGAATGGAATCGAAACAGGGAGAATATGGGTTGTGGTGTTTCTGTTTACTTTTTTCTCTCATGGGTATTTCTCTTAACTGAAAATCAAAATTTCACTCTGATTTAGTTTTTGGTAATAACCATTTTAATGCTGATAAAATCTCTTTGTTTAATTTTTAGGTATTTGGCTTCATTACCTTCTCATGTATTAAAAAATGACCACGTTAAGAAATTTTTCAGCACTTCATCTCCCACGCAACAGCTTCAAAGTCCAAGTGAGTTTGTGAAATGTGATTACGTAAAGATAAAAACATCTTTATAGTCTGTAACCTTTCTGACATTTATCTTACCTTGCAGGTCCTGGCACCCCTTCCCTCTCTAAAGTGGGTACCATGATGGGCGTGTCTGGAAGGTGAGGCATCTGGAACCAGCACGTTTCACATCCGCATAGAGGTTACTTCTGCCTGTGTATAAATGTTTGTAGAGTGAAGTCATTTTTGGTCTTAGTCTTGAATAATAGTGTGAGGGGAGTTGGATAGAGATACTCCAGTTTACGATCTCTCCATGTAAAAAAAGAAGTGGTTCTCTGGGCCACTGGAGTTGGAATTCGCAAGGACTCTTATTGCAAATGCCGATTTCCGGGCCCTGCGCACCCTAGCACAGCAGAATTTCCGAGAAGCTTCATTTCTATAAGCTCCCAGGGAGCGACTGTGCCCAGGGTCCTCCATCAGCAGGAGGCCTGTTGGTGAGTGGGTGACAGACAGGTGGGCCAGCGTCACAGACAGCAACACACACGCACGCACGCTTGTGGGAAGATGCAGTCAGGTGGTCCGGGCTTCCACAGTGCTGACTCTCCCCTTTACCCCTTGCCTGCTACATACGGAGTGCACCGTGAACGTGCGGGTTTGCAGTCTGGGCCGGAAGGGTCAAGGGCGGAAAGCAGAATGTGGAGTGTTCTTCCAGCCTGCTGCTAGGACTCCCTTTCACAGAGTTCATTCAGACGTTAAAGATCGAGGAGTCAGTTGTAATGTATGATTTTCAGTATCATGCTATGATCGAACAGCAGAGCCTGGGCAGCTCAGCCACGTACGCACGGGTGCGCATCCATGGACACGTGCACACCCACAGAGGCCTCCGGGGGGCGGTGGGGGGCAGTGGCAGGAAAGGGCTCTGATGCTGGCAGTGGGCGTGGCCTCGGATGCAGCCCAGCACGCGGCAGCCGGCTTCTGCCCACTGTCCACCTGTGTGTCCGGGAAGGAGGCCATGGTCCCGGGAAGACCACCTGTCTGCTGTCCCCACAGGCCTGTGTGTGGCGTGGCCGGCATCCCCTCCTCTCAGAGCAGTGCCCAGCACCACATGCCGCACTCGGCCAGCTCGGCCGCCTTGCCCCACTGCTCCCACGCGGGGGGTGCAGGCTCGGCGTTGGCCTACCGGGCCCAGATGGACAGCTCGCCCGCCATCCTGATGCCCTCCAGTCTGCAGGCCCCTCAGACCCAGGAGCAGAACGGGATCCTAGACTGGCTGAGGAAGCTGCGCTTGCACAAGTACTACCCTGTCTTCAAACAGCTCACCATGGAGAAGGTATGTGGATGACTGGGCAGGCCACACACGGTCTTCCTCTGACCTCGTTCCTAGCGGGCTTGAGGTGGGTGTCTGGACCGTCCACGATGTGGGAATCCCGTGGCCTGCTAGTCGATGCCTGTATGTGTGCCCAGGGTCCTGCACACCCACCGGGGAGCGGCGGTGCATGTGGATGGGAAGGCTTCCTGCCGCCAAAGCAAAAATTCGAATGGGATTGGTTGTAAACAAACAGCTTTTTTTTTTTTTTTAAGATAGTCTGGGGTCTTCATGTGTTAGATACTCTACATGATATGAAGGACATTGTATCCCCAGCAGCCATTTCAGAAGAAATGGTGAATTCTGGTGCGCACGCGCCCTTTGTTAGATGCCCTTCGGCCTGGGCTGTGCGCGTGCAGGAACTTAGTGCCGGAAGGGCCTGTTTTACAAGGCGCCCAAATACTTGCATGCGAGGGAGCAGCCCGCTGACGATCTGGCTTGATTGACGGTCATACAGCTGAAAGTAATAGATGAATTTTATGTCTTTCAAGCAGCCCTACAAAGTTTTGGTTTTTTGTTTCGTTTTTTGTTTTTTTTTTTAAGAGATAGAGGAGGGTGGCAGGAGGGGCAGAGGGAGAGAGAGAATCTCAAACCCCCTGCTGAGCGCAGAGCCTGCCCCAAGGCTGATCTCACAACTTTGAGATCACCACCTGAGCTGAAATCAGCAGTCAGACACTTAACCGACAGAGCCACCCAGGCTCCCTGGAAATTATTTTTTACAACAGAGAGTTTTGATGAGCATTTTTTTGTTGTTAAAGAAAATTCTGGAATTTCTGAAGTCTTGGTGTCACTGAGAAAACTAAGTGTGACCCATGGCGGCGTTTGAGCTCTGATGTCCCTTGCTGGATACAATCACTTGGTGCTTTTATCTATATAAACATCTTATTTGTCCAAAAATCTGCAATTGAATCTAGAAATCAAGCTTTTAGTACATAATAAACCGCTTCTAAGTATATTTGTAATACTCTTGGCTTAGGATTCATAAATCCTAAAAAACAGTAGATACTGCCAACTTTGTCTCATGATCAGTTTAAAAAAGTTTGAATGTAATGTAGGAGTTGAATTTTAGCCATAAAATCACCATCGCATTATGAAGTGTAATGCGAACCAGTGTTGTGTCTGCTTGGTATGAGACCCCCGGGTTAGTTAGCCATTTGGTGCAGGTGGTATCTGCTTTTCTGGGTCACTTGCTTTCCAACAAAGTTGCTTTGCCCCTAAAATGACAGTGACTGTGAGACAGAAGAGCTGTTAAGAGTTCTCCTTTCTGGAGGAGGATAAACAGCTTGCATTTACCCCAGGGGGTAGGTCCCTGGACAGGAGGGGGACATTTCCACAGACCCAGTCTCTGTAGAAGTGGAAACTGCAGGACATGTTCTTTAGTCACCTGCCTGCATAGTGCGGACCTTCCAGGTGCCCCGTCTTCTCCAGGCCGTGTGCGGAAGGCCCAGTGGGCGTGGCCGCTGAGCCTCATATGGAAAGTGAGCATTTCATGTTTTGAACGAGGGACACCACATCATTTAGCAATGGACTGTTTTGGTGTTCCCAAGGCTGCTTTTTTTTTTTTTTTTTTTTTTAAGATTTTATTTATGTATTTGACGGAGTAAGCGAGAGAGAGAGCCAACACAAGCAAGCAGGGGGGATGGGAGAGGGAGAAACAGGCTCCTCTCTGAGCAGGGAGCCCGATGAGGGGCTCGATCCCAGGACCCTGGGATCATGACCTGAGCCGAAGGCAGACGCTTAACGACTGAGCCACCCAGGCGCCCCTGTTCCCAAGGCTTTTATTATCCATTAGGTTTGATCTGTTTGTGTACGCTACTGGTAGAGTATGTTTATTAAATTATACTCCAAGTTCTTTGTTTTCAGAGTCCTAATTGATTCTCAATAACTTTATGATGTGTTTCTTCTGTGCAAGTTTCTGAGCCTTACTGAGGAAGATCTAAATAAATTTGAATCCCTCACAATGGGAGCAAAGAAAAAACTCAAGACTCAGCTGGAGCTGGAGAAGTAAGTGTGAAACTGCGAAACGTCTGTTTCTTTTCATTCCTGATGTACTGAATGTGGTATCTAAATGGGGTATCTCGATTGGATGGGGGCCCCCAAATGTGGGGTGACTATTGGGTGGCCTGGGAGGTGAAAGAGTTCACCTGAAGCGGAACAAAGGAGAGTTCATTGAGGAGAGGCTTTCAGCCAGGAGGCACCGTGTGCGGGCTTTATTTAAAGAGGGAAGGTGAGGACGTGTGGAATCTTCCCTCTTTTTGGTCACTGTGCTGGTTGCAAGTATCCCAGTGGTCACCTGGGGCCTAGGGGTATTCTGAGATGGGTCGTCTCATGGGCCTGTGTTCAGCCAGGGGGTCCACTCTTAGAGTGCCTCTGCACTGAACAGGTGCTAGCGAGCACTTAGCTAAATGCCCTTGATTGGATTACTTTGATTGCTTATCAAAGCTTCATTAATGCTTTCACAGTTCTACGATGTGGTTTGGGTGTGCTAGGAAGGGCCCTGTGCAGCGAATCCGACAAGTCAGAATGCATTGCTTTCCACGTCTGAGGGTATCTGGGGGCGGTCCCCTTTGTATGGAATCTGTGCAGGAGAGCAGAGCTTGGGCAACAGTAAACCGTTCTCTAGCAGAAGACCTGAACGCTCACTCGTTCACGTGCTCTCTTGTGGCACAGGGAGAAGTCAGAGAAACGGTGCCTGAACCCCACAGCCCCACCCCCAGTCACCAGCAGCGGAGTGGCCCGCGTCCCCCCCACCAGCCACGTCGGGCCCGTGCAGACCGTGCGAGGCCCCCACGCTGCAGGTGGGTGAGGGCGGGGTGGCCTTGAGGGGGGCATTGCGGGCTCCTCCTTTGGAGGATAGTTATTAGACTCCAGACCACACACAGCCTTTTGGCATTTGCCTATTTTTAGAATTTGCAGTTACTGCTCATTATTTTAGCTTTCATCATTTCCACCATTAGAAAACAGAAGGGACATTTGGTTTAGAACCTAGAGACCGGTGACTCACCTGAAGTTGTTCGGGCAAAAGAATTAGATCCGGCAGCTGCACGGCCAGAGGGAAAGAGAAAGAGGTACCCCAAACAGATGAAGATACGCTTCTTCCCCAGGAGGGTGCAGACAGGTCCTTGTAGGCCCTTGCTTCAAAGGTCCATCTTGAAACTCCCCAGAGTGCGAGAGCGCAGCCTCCCTGTCGTGCAGCGCCTGGGAGCCACGGGCCCTGGGCTCTTAGCCGCCCTCCTCCTCTCCCTGCCTTCGCCTCTGCAGTCGGGGCGCCGGATGCCGGGGACGGATGGCCCGTGGTTTTCTTTACACTGTGGAAGTAGCAACAGTGACAGGACGCCAGGGAGAAAAACATGCCAGTCTATCTTTTGAGTGGTTATTTGACTAAAAGGGTCTTCCATCCCTTGGCCTCGTAAAATGGGGTGTCCCTCAGTGTTGGGAGATGACTTTGGTAGCACCGTGGTGGCTGGGCGCCCCTTGTTGCTTCTTTTCCGAGGTGTGAGTGGAGCCTCGGGCAGCTTGTTTTCTCCGAGTCCCCGGGTCCTGTCTGAAGCAGGAGTGACAGCACCCGCCTCCCCGGGGCTGGTGCCCGGGTCAGCGGGATGGGTGTGCGCCGAGGCGGGTGGGGAGGGCACGGTAGACACTGGCCGGCACGACCCCTGTCGGCGCCCCTTTTCCGCAGCGCTGCGGGTAGAAGTGGAGCAGCCCCCTCACCAGACGGCCCGGGAGGGCAGCTCCTCGGAATGCTCCAGCTCCTCACCCAGCCCGATGGGGGTGCAGGCCCGGGAAGAGAGCTCGGACAGCGCCGAGGAGAACGACAGACGTAAGGACGCCCGTCCTGGGAGCGCCCTGCTGCCCCTGCCCTGGCCCGGGGCGCCGTGCTGACCGCTGTGTTTCCATGTCTAGGTGTGGAGATGCACTTGGAGGGCTCGGAGAAGGAGAAGCCCATCATGCTACTGAACCATTTCGCTTCAAGTTCCGCCAGACCCACGGCCCAGGTTCTCCCGGTGCAGAACGAGGCAGGCTCCAGTCCGGCGGGCCACCACCCCCTCCCCCCCCAGATGATGGCCGCGGCCTCGCACCTGGCACCCATCCGGATGCTGAATTCCGTGCACAAGTCCGAAAGGGGGGGCGCGGACATGAAGCTCCTCCCGCCTTCCGTGCACTCGCTGCTGTCTCTAGAAGAAAGGAGTAAGCTCTCGGGACCAAGAGGCGGCATCAAAGTGGACAAGAACTTCGGCCACACCGTGATCGACGCAGCGCCCACGCCCACCCCCCAGCAGCCCCTGCAGGTGCTCTCTGCCCTGGCCGAGAGCAGCTCCGTGTCACCCACCGTCTCCTTCGGTCCCCGCGCCAAAGTCGTGCACACGGCTGCGCTGGACAGGGTGATGAAGCCGGCGCCGCAGCCGGCCCTGGCGGGGGAGGCGAGCTCGGCTGCCGCGGGGACGTCGAGCGCCGTCTTCCACGTGGCCCGGCCACCCATCAAACTTCTGGTGTCTTCGTCTGTGCCCGCGGATTCGGCCATTTCTGGGCAAACTCCCTGTTCGAATAACGTGCAAATAAGCGTGCCCCCTGCAATAATAAACCCCCGGACTGCCCTGTACACCAACACCAAAGCTGCCTTCTCTGCGATGGGCAGTGTGCCCGTGGGGCCCCTGCAGGGCAGCTTCTGCGCCAGCAGCAGCACCGCCGCCTCCGGCAGCCACCCGCCCACGTCCTTCGCCAGCATGGCCTCTGCGCCCAGCTGCCCCGCCCCCAGCTCCAGCCCCGCGCTCCCC